AGCTGTCATTGTTGTTTGGCAGCCCAGGCTAGATTCGAACCCGCCACCTTAGGTGTATGTGGCTGGCACCTTAGGCACTTGAGCCACAGGCACCGAGCCTAGATGTAGTTTTTTATAGAAAATTGCAGATGGAAAGGATTTACAAAAATATCAGTCTCATTCTTCTCTTTGGTATGAGAAGTTGTGGGAAAATTTATAATAGCCATCTTATTTGTTTTGTTTTTTGGTAGTATAAATATATTTTCTGTGTAGAACATCTGTAAAAAAAAAAAAAAAACTCAAGTCTTTCAAAATCCCTAGACCCTGAGGTTACTGCTGTTTTTTCAACTATTAACCTCTGAAAAATATGACTTGATGAACTGGTTGCTTTGCTTGATAAGTGAGCACCCAGTACAGTGATATTCAGATTACCAAAGCCAACTTCTGAGGCACAAACACTTCTATGTTCTTGGTTAGCCAAGAAAGCTAAAGACTGGCTTCTTTTCCCTGTCTCCTCAAAGGTAAGATCCAGCCATCTAAAAGTGCAGTCAGTGGGTGGCTCCTGTAGCTCAGTGGGTTGGGCAACGGCCCCATATACTGAGGGTGGCGGGTTCAAACCCAGCCCCGGCCAAACTGCAACAAAAAAAATAGCTGGGTGTTGTGGCGGGGGCCTGTAGTCCCAGCTACTCGGGAGGCTGAGGCAAGAGAACTGCCTAAGCCCAGGAGTTGGAGGTTGCTCTAAGCTGTGATGCCACAGCACTCTACCGAGGGCAATAAAGTGAGACTCGTCTCTACAAAATAAATAAATAAATGAGCAGTCAGTGATACTAAACCATGACAGCCATCAACAGGGTCACCTCCTTCCCCTCAGCCCAGCCTCTGCTGCTGCTCCTGGGAGTCTGAAGCTGTTTCAGAGCGGCTTGTTTATCTTTCTTTGGCAGGGTGACTGTGGCAGTCTCTAACCTCAAGTTCAGTAACACAATGATTCCCAGAGCGAAGCTTTGGTGTCTGCCACTGTAACGTCCTTTCCTAAAAAGTGATATTGTAGCTTTCTTTCATTAAAAACAAACCAACCACATTTTATTATAGTTATCTATTTCCTCCCCTTCTTGTTTTCTTTTTCTTCTGATCTCCTGCTGTGCCATGACAATGATCTCAGTACTGGGTCCCCACTGTCTGCCCTCTGAATCATTTCATTATACTGCTCTTGAGCATGTAAGAGCCACATATTGGGAAAAACCTATTATGAAATTATCCCATTCATAATCAGAGTCTGATACCTATGAGATATTTAATTATGATTAAATCATTTCCAGTAAAAAATAAATTATCCCATTCGGTCCTCACAACCCTGCACTTTCAACTAGCATTATAATTTCCAGATGACAAAGTGTGTTCTTAATCATCTCTTCTTTCTCTCGGCTTTTGTGCTTTTTCCTAGGCTTTCCACATCTGTTTTAATTATTTCCAGAGTCTGTTGTACGTTGTGCAGTTATTAATTCATTTACATTCCACAATGTCATTATTCCTCATCCTCTCAGCTAGTCTGTTCCCTTTACTCTTTTGCCTTGTTTCTCTAAGTCTACTTCTCATCAAATTCCTTGCAAGTTAAGAAGCAGTTTCAGTATAAAATTTTCTTCTGCTTTCTGGAAGACTATGCCTAGACTATGCCTAGACTATGCCTTCCCTACCATTTGCTCCATCTAGATTGTTTACTCCAATGTTTACTCCATTTATATTCCAGTCCTACTCTGGAAGACTATGCCTAGATGTTTACTCCATTTATATTTTACAAGTTATATTCCTTTTTCTGTTTTTGAAACACAGTTTTCTTTCTTATTTATGAGCAGACTTCTTACGACTCACTCAGGCAATTTTCAGCGCCTTCTAACTGTTCAGAAGTAATGTGACTGTGTAGGTTGTGTAGGTTTTGACTTCCTTCCCCACTGACCTGGGCATCATCTGATTAATTCCATAAGCACTTGAGACAGAGGTTGGAGGTTGATTACGTTCTCTGTGCCACTGCTCAGTTCCTTGGCAGGTGACTGAGAGCAGGGGGGGTAGTGTAGCTGGGTGTATATTGCTGGCCTTGGCCTAGGAGCTTTGTCTTATTTCTCTCCAAATTTGTTAAGACTACTATGTCTGGGACCAATTCAGCCAATTGGGCATCTTGAGCTGTTCTATGTAAGAGAACTTCTCAGATACCAAGAACATTCCCCTAAGTTAGGGCGAACTAGCCACTTTGGTGAGAGATGAGACTAAGCATGACACCCTTCAGTTCATGATCTTTTGCTTTTACCAGTCAGCAGGTTTCTACTCATTGCATACTCACCTCTGGTGCACGCCCGTGAGTAGATTTACCTGCAGACCTCACACCCTCTTTGCTAGGAAACTATCAGAAGGGTTAAAAAAAAGAGAAAGAAAGCATGGCAGTATGATTTCGTAGTTGGATGGCTTCTTCAATCCTCCAGCCTTTGCTGAGGTGGGAAAAAAAGGCTCCAAATGATTACTCCCATCCTTCTCCCAACCTTCTCATACTTCTGCCCCGAGCTCTAATATCACACCCTGGGCTGCTCAGAATGCCTTCCAGCTGTACCACTGCACTGCGCCTTGAGACTGGAGAGTGTGGGGTTGGTCCAAACTGCATCACAATGGCTGGCACTGAGTTCTGTGCCAATTTAGAGCTGTAGAGTCAATGCAGACAATTCTATTTTGGGACTTTTGTTCATTTCCTGTGTTCTGCCTACCATTTTCTTTTTTTTCACTTATTCAACCTACCATTTGCTCAAAGGAATAAATAAACTGGGTGGGAAACTCACTGGCTTCCCTAGAAAAATACTTTGAGTGTCTGATTTGTAGTACAAACTTCTTTTAAAAAATTTACCATTTCTGCTCTGCTGATACACCTTAATCTCTGAGCAAATTCAAACATTTGAGGACTTATCACATGCAAGACACAAGAAGACACATGTTTGTAAAACTCATTTTCTTCCCTGGACTTTGCAGTTAGGTGGAGAAAGCAGATGAGTTCATGACTGACCACAAAAGAGAAACTCTTCAACATAAAATCTTTCCATTCAGGAAATGTCATAGCTATTGGCCAAAGTACACACCCATCACACACGGTATCCATTTGAACTCATGACAAGAGGACAGACATGCAGCCTTTGGAAGCCAGTGGTTGGTGGAGGGATACAAGAACCAACAGCTAAATCTGATAGGTTTTTCTCCGGCCAACCAGAAGGTTTGAACAAGTCATACAGGCTCAAGCATAACTCAAAATAATGTGGGAATGAGGATTTCTCTTGCAGACCTAAATGAAGAAGAAAAGATTATGGAAGGGAGAAGAGACTCTCAGAGATGCTAAATCTGTTTGATTTCATTAGTTCTTCCATTCTTTCAGACTAGAAGAGCACAGAGGCTCAGATGCCTCTCAGCATCCACCAACCAGTAAAGAAGTAACTCCCGAAGCCTCGGAGCTGGGTAGGAGGTAACACACGGAGACGCCGCTTTAGAGAAACCAGGCTTTGATTCTGAGGTGTCCCTTTGGCTCCAACTGGGCAGGGCAGGTAGATCTGTACAATTACAAAGTGCTCCGGAACAGGCTCCAGGAGACTACACATTCAAAGTCATTCCTTTTTTTATTGAGACAGAGCCTCAAGCTGTCCCCGTGGGTAGAGTGCCGTGGCATCACAGCTCACAGCAACCTCCAACTCCTGGGCTCAAGTGAGTCTCCTGCCTCAGCCTCCCAAGTAGCTGGGACTACAGGTGCCAGCCACAATGCCCGGCTATTTTTTGGCTGCAGCTGTCACTGTTGTCTGGTGGGCCAGGGCTGGATTTGATCCCCCCACCTTAGGTGTATGTGGCTGGCACCTTAGCCACAGGCGCGGAGCCTAAAAGTCATTCCTCATCAACATACTGCCCGTCTTAAAGCCTCAGTGAAGTAGACTACAGGGCACCGATTAAGTCAAACTCTGCAGTCAGATTGATTAGAATGCTGGCAGTTGAGTGTCCTATCATCAACTAAAACACTTTCAGGGGAATATGACAATTCCGCAACCAGTAGTAGGTGATTCACATACCTGTATTGTGACCACATTCGCTTCGTGTTCATACAAAAATGATTTCCTAGCTTCATACTCTTCCATAAGGGGGTTTCCTGTGCTTGCGGCTCGGAAGCGATGAAGCATATCTTCAGAAGCAGACCATATATTCTCACGAATGTACCCTATTGTGATTTCCTCAACAATATCCTGGCAAAAGATAGTTCTTATGGTTATACTTCACACATCAGGTGAAAGGGGCACATAAAATAGCATCTGGATAGTTTATCTTTAAGAAAATGTTATGAATAGCTCTCTTTGGCTTGGTTTAGAAACAGGATTTAATCAGAGCCAAGGGATGACCCAGCTTAGCTTCTTTCTAGTGACATAATTTTGGAATCCTCTGAGTTTGCTGCGAACATGGCTGAATGAATTCAGGATTTGGAGGCGAAGAAGTATGGATGATGCTGGCAAGGCCCAGGCATGAGGTCTGAGCTCCACAGAACGTAAAAAGGATAAAAATCATTGGTGTAAAAACACGCATCACCTCCTTACTCCCTTGGCCTGCCCACGAGGTCCTCAGGCTTCTCTCCCCTACCCCTGCCTCCCCCAGGCCAGACGAGGCAGATCCTTGCAGTGAGCTGGGGGAGGACTCAAAACGATGCTCTGGGGCAAAACAAAACACTTGGAGCAGAAGCAAAGGAGGTGGGGAAGGAAACACAAGTGCTGTCAAAGGCAGAGGAATCTGGAGAAATGAGAACCAAGAAGGAAGGGGTTATAAGAAGACTTCATGTGTATTATGAACTGGGTGTATTTTTTTGGTCACTGGGAGACTAGAAAAGACTGCACTCAATAGTTGGTTAAACAGTAACGGTGAAATCATATAAAGGATGCATGAACAGCTTTAAGAGAAGGCACTATGTGTGTGTCCGTTTAACTTCAGGTTGTTTAGAAGAGATACATTTTTTTTTTTTTTACAGTGTTAGACCTGCCACTGTTTAATTATCTTAACCCACTGATGCTCAATATAATAACAAGTTATACCTGGAGCATCCTTGGATGCCACATGAGCAATTTTTGATTCCAAATTTTAACTCTTTGATGCTGCTGACTTAAAGTTTGACACATGTTTTCAATCATGGCATATGATCTTTTAGTAGGTCCGTAACTTCATTAAAAAATAGCACTAAGGGCGGTGCCTGGAGCTCAGTGGGTAAGGCGCTGACCATATACACTGAGGCTGGTGGGTTCAAACCCGGCACAGGCCAGCTAAAACAACGACAACCATAACAACAACAACAACAACAACAAAAAGCCAGGCGTTGTGGCAGGTGCCTGTAGTCCCAGCTACTTGGTAGGCTGAGGCAAGAGGATCACTTAAGCCCAAAAGTTTGAGGTTGCTGTGAGCTGTGACGCCACAGCACTCTACTGAGGGTGACAAAGTAAGACTCTGTCTCAAAAAAAAAAAAAAACCCAAACTAGTAATTCATTGTTGCAATGCCATTTCCTTAAAAATTATAAGAACTCTGAGCATCTGAAGTTAAACTAGATTCTTTGCTATTTTCTTGTGATTAAGAAGTTTTGGTAGCACTAACACAGACCACATTTTTTTCTCTAGATTTTAATAAATACTATCTTGGTGATTCTGTTCACAATACTGCTACAATCTTTGATATTACTGATTTTTAGCAATTACATAAGATCTGTGTTTGTGTGTTCTATTTTTTCCCCCCAAACCCGAACTCAATTATCATCAGCATTTTCTCTTAAAAATACTAAAATGCCTGCCTCTGCCACCAATTTTCTTTTTTGGGTCCAACTTTTCATCTTAAGTCCAAAGCATTGGTGAGCATTCCTTTGAGAGTATTTCCTCTGGGAAGCATTAGTCACTTTTTAAAGGAGCGGGGTACCTATGTTAGAATAAATCAATTTTTTAAGCCTCCAACTTGTGTTATTAATTCCAGAGCAATGGGCACATGGTGGCTGTGTCAGAAACAATGTGAAGAGTGTAAAAGATACAAAACGAGAAACTGGAGTGGTGGGAGTGAACCTCTGTTGATGAAATCTGTACAACTGGAGAATTAGTATAGCTGCTTTACCCACTCTATGCCTCAGTTTCCCCATCTAGAAAAAAGTAAGATGAGACTATTTACTTTGCTTCCAGTTACAGAATGATTTCGGGGTCAAAATGATGGGAACACACATTGGAAAGTGAAACTCTGCACAAATATGGGGCACTGGCTATGTCTGTGGTTTCAGAAGAACCTTATTTGTAGTGCTACACATTCTTTGGGTAGTTAGTAAGATTACTTCTGCCCATAACTTAGTCCATAAATTTCACATTGTCCTGACTTTATCCTGCCATTTCTTCATGGCCTTCCACCCACCTCTGACAAAGCAAGGAACCACCTCGCAAAGGCAGCCACATGGCCTCGCTACTTGTTTATAGCTAAATCCTTGGTTTTGTAAGGTTTACACCAAGCATCTAGCTCCTTATTTTTGTGTTGTAAGAACATAAATTCTCAGATCTAATAAAGCCATGGTCACGGAGAGGTCCATCTATTGTCAAAATGCTCCTCTCATTTCTTTATGCAGAGAGGGAGAATCGAAAAATGAATGAAATTAAGTGACTTAGAACTGGAAATGAAAAGAGCTCTTTGGCCTTATTCTTTCTTATAGTTTTTCTCTTATCTTTTTGTTTTTTAAAATGAATACTGAGTCCTTAGCTCCAATATATATAATAATTGTTATTTGGGAAGAAATTAGGACTAGAATGGAAAAGGCATATGTACCCTAAGACTTAGGCCAGCATTGTATATAATGAGAAAAAGCATTTAAGCAAGAGATTTTAATGCAGACTCTTTGAAATGGGTTTCTTCTTCCTATGTTTAACATACTAAATGTCTTAGCAATAACTGTGCTGTATATGTTTACCAACACATTCTTTGCTTCTAACAAGCAGCTCACATAAAGACTATTTATATAGTTTGACTGAAAGGGATGGAAGGAGGAATAAATTGCCTTTTTTTGGAGACAGAGTCTCACTCTGTTGCCTGTATAGAGTACAGTGGCCCCATCATAGCTCACAGCGACCTCAAACTTGTGGGCTCAACAGATCCTCCTGCCTCAGCCTCCCAAGTAGCTGGGACTACAGGTGTATGCCACAATGCTGGATAATTTTTCTGTTTTAAGTAGAGGTCTCCCTCTGGCTCAGGATGGTGTTGAACTCCTAAGCTCAGGTAAATCCATCTGCTTTGGCCTCCCATAGTGCTAGGATTATAAGCATGAGCCATTGGGCTCTGCCTGATAAATTGCTTTTCACAAGTAACATACGGTAGAAGAAAGTTTTCAGATATGTGTCAAGGAGGAGTAAAAAGGGATCTTTACTGGTTAAGTCAAAATTCTGATTTACTATATCACGTTTAACTGTTGGTTTGTATAATATATGGACATACGGCTAAGTTTTATGTCAGTTAATGAAGAGCCAAGTATAAAATACACTCAGTGGTACTGTTTGTACTTATATTTGGACACAGCTTCATTCACAGGTCTAGAAATTATGTTAAGCAATGAAACTACACTAAGACGATCATTTTAGAAGAAGTAAACATTTGTTTCACCATCCTATGCTCTGGCCAACTCTGTTCTTTGCTCCTGAAGCTATCCTGGATATGGCTGGGATGTGGCAGAGCCCTCTCCAGCACTTTGTAGGAAAAAAATGACATCTTGGTTTGAAAAGTTATTTGTAAGCTGAGAGGGGGGGAAATAATACATTTTGAAAACTGACAACCAAGGAGTTGTCACTAAGCTTAATTCTGTCAAGGAAATCCTTAAGCTTGATTTCTTTGCCATCCCAAATAAATTGCAAAAGCTTTCTTTCCCCTCTTTTATTTGGTTTTGTTATGCCAATATGGGAAAAATTCTGAAAGTTAGAGATACTGTAGCCACATTCAACTGCAGTTTGTAAAGATTTTATTCCATATCTAGCCTTGAACTATATCAATTAGTTAATCTCATCATTTTGATGATTCAAAAATAGAAAACCAATCACAGTGGCTCGGCATCTATAGTACAGTGGTTATGGCGCCAGCCACATACACCGAGAGTGGTGGGTTCAAACCTGGCCTGGGCCAGCTAAACAATGACACTGTAACAAAAAATAGCCAGCTCCTGTACTCCCAGCTACTTGGGAGGCTGAGGCAAGAGAATCACTTAAGCTCAAGAGTTTGATGTTGCTGTGAGCTGTGATGCCACAGCACTCTACCAAGGGCGACACAATAAGACTCTGTTTCAAAAAAAACAAAAAAAAAGAAAAGAAAAGAAAAAGAAAAAGAGAACCAATCACGCATCCTTCACACTATTTTCCATCAAACACAAACCTCCTACCTCAATTTCATCTCTATTGAGCCACGATTCCTTAAGCAAGTAGGATTCAGGTAGGACCCAGGAGCTCTCTTCTGAATCAATGTTGTAATAGTAGTCATATTTCTCCTGCAGGTTGACTTTCAGCCATGGACCTTCATTAGACACTAAAGAAAAAAGTTCATTATATTTTACAGAGAAGCAGTCAATTGTAAACATTAGTATAGTTTCTTTAATATGTAAAATAATTTAATAAGTGTGTTTTTCCCCAGACATTCGGCTAGCCTAAGTTAAGGGCATTAGAAATGATCTGCTAACATGGCATGAATTCAATGCATTCATAGTCAGATGTCTGCTAAGTCAAAAAAAAAAAAAGGACAAGAGACAAATGTCTAATGCCAATTCTGGACCTCTCCAAAGAAAGGAAAAGTAATGAGGAATATGTGTAGACATCTACCATGCAATACATGGTCTTCTCTGTCTACACGTGGTGCTGCCCACACGTGTTGGCCACCTATGGTGCACATCCACGTACACAAAGGAGACCAGGGAGCAAGATCCTTTTTGCTCACAAAATCTTACAGCAATTTCTCCAGTAAGGACTGACCCATGGACCCACAGGGACTGTGGTTCATATTTGAGGAGGATCAATGATCTGTATTAAACCAAAGCAGAAGTGATTCACCTTTGGAGACAACTTTATCCAAAGTACAAAACGCCTTATGTATAAAGGTTATGTAAGGTAGAGAAAACAAAAATTCCTGGTCCCTCTGACTCATCTTACTTGATGCAACCACAAGAAATAAGGAAAGTAAATATTGATAGGATGTAGTCTGTGTGCCGGGGAGAAGTACTAGAAAAACCTATGTCTGGCACGGCATAAATGGGCCAAAGGTCAAGAAGAATGTCTCGTGTCTCCTCCTCATGAATCTATCAACTACACTTCAAATTCAGTAATCTGTTTGTTTTGTTGAATAGTCATGATTCCTGTCCCAGGCCAGAGAGCCAAAAAAACAAAGAAACCAAAAACCAAAAAACAACCAAATTTTGTGAAGTTCTTAGACTACACCAAGTCAGCTGCTACCAAGTAAGTGTTAGACTCATTCCATTTATAGGTAAATGAAAGTTCAAGTCAATATCTTTACACCATATTTAAATAAATTCAAATAACTAAACAGAAGTAACATTAAGACCCTTTAATATGTATTAAATCCTTTTGGTTTTAAATGTTCTATTTGTCAGTGCTTAGGAAGAGAGACTTATCTCTTTTTAAATGAGCAGACAAGCCACTCATCTGTTTAGAAACATACTCAAATGCATTGTGAAATCAAGTTAGTATGTTCACAAGTAAATTTTATATTTTCAATCACCTGTAATTGTCCGATTCATAAATGCTTTCAGAAGAATAATCACCCTTCTCAAGGCAACTCTCTCCCTGGGAAGGAAAGGAGGAAGCAAAACTAGTGAAAACACCCCTCCTGCCACTTGCCTCAAGAAATAGAAAGGTTGTTTAAAAGCCAACCACATTGCCATGAGAAGACTCTACTTGGGTTGCAGTGTGACTGGGTAATAGGAAGGCAGGATTCCAATCATTTTTATACCTCGCTTGAATTTATAGTTAAAGGCTGAGGAGAGCTGCTTTCCAATATAGGATACAAATATATTTCTTAAGACATATAGTTGGTTTGTTACTTTTAGGGAAAAAACTAATCACAGGCCTTTAAGAGATGGTCAACTTTCCAGAAGGAGGCGTACTTTCTAGATGGCTTCCAGACAAAATTATACCTATATATAGGGCAAAACTGAGTTAAAAGGCTGAGTACTCCACCTAACAGTGGACACCTCAGATTGGCAAAGAATAGATACCCTAGAAAAAGAGGAGAGAGGGATCAGAATAAATCACGCAATGCATTCCCAGAAACAATGTTCATAGCTCTATCTGGGGGTAAAAGTCAGTCATTATTTCCCTGGAAAGCTTCTCTTTCTTCTAGAACAGGTCAGCAAGTTTTTTTCTGTAAAGGGCCAGAGAATAAATATTTTCAGCTTTGTGGGCTACGGGTCTCTAAAATAATTGCTCAACTCTACCACTGTAGCATAAGAGCAGTCAGAGAATATATATAAATGAGTGTGGTTGGATTTTGGTCAAGCTTTACTTATAAAAACAGGTGGCAGGCCAGGCAGGTGGATCATACCTTTAATCCCAGTGATTTGGGAGGCTGACATGGGAGTGTTGCTTGAGGCCAGGAGTTAAAGACCAGCCTGGGCAACACAGCAAGACCCTGTCTCTACCCAAAAAAAGAAAAAAAAGAAAAGAAAAGAAAAATTAGCTGGCAGTGGAGTTAGATTCCTTCAGTCCCAGCTACTTGGGAGGCTGAGGCAGCAGGACCTCTCGAGTCCAGTATAGTGACCCAGAACTGTGCCACTGTACAACAGCCTGGGTGACAGAGTGAGATCCTGTCTCTATGAAAAATGAGAAAAAAACCAAAATAGGTGGTGTACAAGGAATTTACTAAAAACTATTAGGATAAATCAGATCAACAAGGTCTCATTACCCTGTATCTCAAAACCCTGGATATAGGGTTTTGTTTTGGTGTGCTGGAAATGTTCTAGAATTCACTAGAAGTATCAGATGTATAATTTTGTGAATACCTCTTAATAGCATACCTTAAAAGGGTGAATTTTATGGCATGTGAATTATTGTCCCAATAAAAAAAATGATCATGTACCATACACTAGCAATTTGGGATTGTTTAAATCCCAAAATGTAATTAAGAAAAAAACTATCTGGGCTGAGTGAGGTGGCTTACACCTGTAATTCTAGCACTCTGAGAGGCTGAGACAGATGGATTGCTGGAGGTCAGGAGTTTGAGACCAGCATGAGCAAGAGTGAGACCTGTTTCTAAAAAGAAGCTGGGTGTTGTAGAGGGCACCTGTAGTCCTAGCTACTCGGGAGGTTGAGACAAGAGGATTATTTGAGCCCAGGAGTTAGAGGTTGCTGACCTGTGATGCTATGGCATGCTACCGAGGGCGACGACATACTGAGACTCTGTCTCAAAAAAAAGAAATGCAAACCTTATACACCAAAAACTATAAAGTGGTGAAGAATTTCAAGAAGACCTAATTAAAAGGAACCATATTCCTTGTACATGGATCAGAATATTATGAAGATGGAAATACTCCTCAAATTGATCCCCAGTTCAACACAGTCTATAACGAAATCCCAGCTACCTCTTGTTTTCTTCTCCAGGAGAATGAATGAACCTGCTAGGTTTCTGAATTGGATACCTGGGCATATTCTGACTCCCTTCACCAAAACATGGCAATGGGAAGAGGAAAAGGTAAGTTTAGGAGACAGAAAATAAACTAAGTCTGGGCCAGGATGGAGTTGAAATTATGATGGCTCATCTAGGAACTCAACCCCTGCACTAATTAACACAGTATATAATTCTTTCCCAATGAAGGGTGAGGTTTGGGTATTACACTAATATCTGATAAAGAGATCTGAATTGAACAGGGAAGGGCTCAAGGGTGACCAGATGCCAAGTGAGGGAGTGGTCATTTCATTAATAAAACATTTGTTGAGTTGGAAGGTAAAACCTCCAAGCTGCATATACAGTAAACTGGCCGTTATCTGAAACTCAGGCAGCTAGTGATCTCAAGCAACCAGCCAACAACAACAACAACAACAAATGAGAATTTAAACTTGGTACACCTTGCTGTTAGTAAGCTGATGCTTCCTGCAGCAGCTCCCATATGTTCTCTGTAATGGTTTTAGGTGTTAATGTGTGTTATTTGAAGTTAAAAAAATACGGTAGTAAAGTCGAAAAGTGTAGTGACTGCTATTTCATAATATAGTAAAACTGGTTACAGTAAGTGAAGTTTGTCTTTGTTTGTTTTGTTTTTAATTAATGTACATCAACATTAATACCAAGTCAATACCAAGTTTATGGTATGGAATGGGGTATAGAATTAGTTAGGCCTATTTTAATAGTAACTCACAAGCAACCAGAAACTACATTGATCTGGAAACTACCAATGCCCATGGGTGCTGGATAATGGGGAGATTATTGTATATCAAACTTAAGAGCAAGCACATGGGATTCTATGAGACAAATTTCCAGTTGAACTAAAGTTTTTTGAGAGATTCTCCTCTAAGGCCATACACTATTGAAGTAGTTTCTTTAAGATGTGTATAGCATTATGTAGACAGCCTACAATGGGATATAGATAAACACCAGTCTCGATAAAAAAATCAGAGATATCACGATTTTTGACACTAGCACATAGTAGGTGCTTAATAAAAATCTGCTAAAGGGATGATGGGTTAAAATGAATTGTTTTTGCAGCTATCATTTTCTCCTTCTGTCTGAAATCTCTATGTCAATTTACAAATTTGAAGAATGAGTATTAAGCTGCATGATCTCAAAGAAACTTTCCAGTGCTAACACTTCATGATCTGCCATTGGACTGAAAAGGCACAACCATTTGCCAGCTGATCCCTGGCAGACCAGTTTACTATACTTTATTCCATATATTCGAAAATCACACTTTACTCCTACTTAACGCTGTGCAATCATGTACCATTTGTCTCACAAAGGATCAAGTAAGAGAAATACTAGTGTAAAATTTTTTTTATATTATGGGGAGAATGGATCAACAAGAGTACAAAGCAAATTTTCTCAAATACCACACTCTCTCAGCTCTCTGATGCCATCTAAGTATTGCCACTGAATTCATCACAGCTTTCCAAGAAAGAAAGAAAAGAAACATCTAAAAACAAAACAAAAAACTTCTCTTGCCACAGATTACAAAAATCAGAAATGTTCACTTGAAAGAAATACTTAGCTTAAAATTAAGAAACACCATAGAAACAATCGTATTTAAAACACTTAGTTTGTGCTCAGTAACAGAAAAACTTACCTCTTTCACTTTTGAGCACTTTTGCCTTCTCAAGGGCATCATAGTACCGCTCGGCACACTCAGGGAGTATGTTACATGCAGAAGACTTCAAGATAGACAAAATGTCACTTGATCTTTTTCCCTCCAAATACTGATTAACATCAACGATCAGAGTAATCCCTGGGTAATAAAGAAAAAAAAATCTTATTAATGGTTATCTTTTACTTGCTGAAAAGGCATGGAAACATATAATTCAAGCTTTTAGGATGCATTAGTATTAAACCTTTCTGGGTACCATATAAACCTGAGCCAATTGCCAACTCATCTATCAGTTTAGGTTGTAAGAGTAAGATTCTATCTATGGGAGCATGGTTTATCAAAAATCACTGCTTATTCTTTTGTGGTGTTATAGTATTAGATTTTGTTCTCTGCAGTAATCTATGAAACAAACCTATATGGGCATCCCTGACCTAGGGCATCAATCTATCTTTGAGTACCAGGCTTTACAAAGACATTTGTTTTAAGATATGCAAAATGCTATTTAGGCTAGGAAATCCTGATACCCTTGTACTGTATTTCCCCGAAAATAAGACACTGTCTTATATATATATATTTTCTTTCTTTGCAGTTTTTGGCTGTGGCTGGGCTTGAACCTGCCACCCCCGGTATATGGGGCCAGTGCCCTACTCCTTGAGCCACAGGCCGCCCAGTCTTATATTTATTTTTTTCTCAAGAAGACACACTAGGGCTTATTTTCAGGGGATGTCTTCCTCTCTGCACTGAAATGTCTTCCTCTCCAAACCTGATCCTGCATAGCCACGCCCATCACTAGGTCTTATCATCGGGGTAGGCTTATATTTAACAAATGCATAGAAATCCTGCTAGGGCTTATTTTTTGAGTAGGTCTTATTTGGGGGGAAACATGTTATTATGGTAGTATACATGGCAAAGTGGTCATGACTAATCTGTGTTCAAGAAGGGCACAGCTGGTGGAAGTGTATAACAGAGTCCTGAAACTAATTTAGACCTAACAAGCACTTGATGCAAATATCTGCCTCTCCCCATAAACAACACCCTACTAAACTCTTACTTGGCTAAAGAAAGTTAACTTAGTGCATTCTTTCTTATCCCTTTAGTTCTAGGTAAGAATGTTCTGGCCAAGCAATAGAACTACTATTTTCACAACCTACAGACATACTAAGTTAGGTATATAGAAATTTAAAAACAAATAGGGGAGAGAGAAGCCAGGTTAAAATATTTCCTTGATGAAAAAGAACTTTAATAAAAAGAAGGGAGAGATGGATATTGTTAAAAATATCCTTATCTCCCTCTATAAGTGTTAAAGGACATTGCTGTATTCAAGCAACGTTCACATGTGCATAGCACTATGGGGGCTGAGGGCGGCTGAAGGGGCAAGAGAAAAAGTCTGACTTCCAGCAACGTGGAGTCGAAGCCATGTGGACAGAGGACCACGTGAAGACTAAGGGGGCACTTCACTAGCAAACTCCAGTGGTTGATCAAAAGGTACAACCATATATTGCTGGGGTTATAGAGATAGGAGGAAATGTGTGAACCGTTCTCCGGGCCTCTGCTCTAGGAGAGCTTTGTAGGATGGAGGATGCTACAGCACTAGCATTTGAGAAGTCTGTGGTCTGAGAGAAGAAGGAACAAGTAAATAACAAAGAATACTCACATAAATCACATGTGATAGCTTCAGCTAACCAATGCAATAAAATGCTATTTTCCTTAAAAGATGATACTAGAAAAGGCACAAATTACTTGTGTGTATTAGTACCACTGAGTACTAATGTGCAAGGAGCTGGTCCACAGGCCAATTTCCAGACAACTGAGGCTAATTACTTCCTACCAAGCCTCATCCTAATAGAACCATTTTCTTTTCTTTTTTTTTTTTT